GGAGCTGATGTATACTCATCAATCATCATGAATGGTATCATCAAGGAGGGCGATTCACAGGTAGTGGCGCAGCAGATTCGCCTTGGCTGGATTCTAAGTGGGAACATTATATCGTACCAATGCAGTGTTGTCCTAAATAACATAGATGAGATCCAGAGATTTTGGGCAATCGAAGATGTTGCAGATGACAATCAAAACAAGTTGTCAGAAGAAGATTATCAGTGCATACTGCGTTATAAAGCAGACACATCAAGAAGAGAAGATGGTCGTTACATTGTCAGATTACCTCTTAAAGCAAATATTGAGGAAAAATTAGGAGAGTCTAAACACAAGGCTATCGGACAATTTTATCAACTAGAAAAGAAATTATCGAAAGACATTAATATTCAAACATCCTATAAATCATTCATGCATGAATACATTGAATTAGGTCATATGCAGAAAAGTATTTCTAACAAAAATCAACTGAGTTACTATTTACCACATCATTGTGTAATGAAATCAGATTCCTTGACAACGGCGTTGCGAGTCGTTTTCAACGCGTCAGCGAAAACGTCGTCGGGGCTGAGTTTAAACGATTTAATGTATAGTGGACCCAATTTACAAAGAGATTTGTTTTCATTGATTTTAAAATGGAGGCAATACGAATTCGCATACACTGCCGATCTAGAAAAAATGTTTCGGCAGATATTGTGCCACAAGGATGATGTGAAGTATCAAAAAATCATATGGCGTGACTCTCCAGACCAAGTTCCTCGTGAATATGAACTTATGACCGTCACATACGGTACAAAAGCAGCGCCATTTTTAGCAATGATGACGCTAAAGCAGTTAGCAAATGATGAGTGCCACAAGTACCCAACAGCAGCAAGGGTTTTAGAAGAAGATTTTTACATGGACGATCTTTTAAGTGGTCATTATACACTGCAAGAAGCAAAACAGTTGCAGAAAGATTTAATGGATCTTCTGAAATCCGGAGGTTTCAATCTCCGCAAATGGTCATCAAATAAGGTAGAGTTACTCAAAGACGTCAGTAAAACAGATCAAGTATTTGACTTTCGTCACCAAGAGTCAACCAAGACTCTTGGATTGAGTTGGCACCCTACTGAAGACCAATTCACTTTCCAAAGCAAAATCAACGTGTCAACCTCAAAAGGGCTGACGAAGAGATCTCTCTTATCAGAAATATCGAAAATCTTCGACCCTTTGGGGTGGTTGTCACCGATTACAACCAAACTTAAGCTACTATTCCAAGCTGTCTGGCAGCTACAACTTCAATGGGATGATCCAGTTCCCGAAGAGATTGTTCAGCAATGGTCACATATGACACAAGAGTTACAACACATCAATTCATTTAAGCTGCCAAGATGGCTGCAGAGTCACAAAGATGGAACTATCAAGCTTTACGGGTTCTGTGACGCATCAATAAAAGCATTCGCTTGTGTGATTTACTGCACATACGAAAATAAAGATGACAATTATAACTCATCAGTAATATTAGTAACTGGAAAGACGCGGCTTGTTCCCATGAACAAAGGTATCACATTACCAAGACTGGAATTAAATGCGGCCGTACTATTATCAAAGTTAGTACACAAAGTTACACAATGTCTAGTTGGACATGATATCAAAATCTTCGCGTGGTCAGACTCAACAGCCGTACTGGGATGGCTTCAAGGTGAACCAAGTCGCTGGAAGCGTTTCGTTGCCAATAGAGTCAAGCAAGTGACCGAAATCATACCAGCGAAAAGCTGGCGCTATGTTAGGTCCGCAGATAATCCAGCTGATTGTGCTAGTAGGGGCATGTCTGTAGAACAACTTAAACACCATAGTCTATGGTGGCATGGACCCTCATGGTTACCTTCATTCGACGAAAATCAGTCAAAGGAAAGTTCTGTTTACATCACATCTCAAGACATGAGAGAGATAGAACAACAAGTTTCCTCCTCGCAACTACATTCAGACGACGTCATCGACTCGATACTGAGCAAGTATGGTAGCTTTGCAAAATCGACGCGTGTACTTGCATGGATGTTACGTATATCAACAAAAATGCATTCGAAACCGTGTTTTCTTACAATCACTGAGCTGAGAAAGGCAAAGCATATTTTAATCAAGCATGTACAGCAACATGAGTTTATGGAGGAGATCAAAAGCCTTCAAAAGCATAGCAATATTTATTTATTTATTTTTATTTATTTATACATTTGGAAAACCAACAGCTATACAATTTGATTAAAAAGAATGTGGTATGCAACAAGAAGCCAATTACTGGTTTCCACGATTAGTAACAGAAAGTAGAAACATGCTAACACAGTACTAAAATTACTCATTAAACTCATTAAACCACAGGCAGTCTATAATGATGCACAAATTACTCCAATGATTAAGTACCATATAGGTACCCACTATGAATTAAAGAAATCAAGGTTCAGCTGCCTGCGTGCCACAGTAAGTTTTGTGTTAAATGGGTCGAATGAAAACTCTTTGCACAGTTTATTGAAATCATTGCTCGCTCGCACAATATACGAATTACTCCGATAGTTGGTTGAGGAAGTAGGTATCGATATCGGTACACTGAACCTAAATGACTTACGGGGAACATTAAAATGAAGTCTTTGCAGTATTTTAGGGCAGTCAATGTCATTAGATAGTATTTTTAACATGAATGAAAAATCCGCCAATCTACGCCTGTTTACAAGGGGTTGCAAGTGAAATCTCTTGCAAAGATTTAGATAGTCAGCACTGTGATAGTCAATTTTCAAGCGATAACATAAAGATTTTACAAACCGCTTCTGGATGTTTTCAATTCGATCGATATAATTATGATAATATGGGTTCCATATCTGAGACGCATATTCGAGGCTACTTCTTACAAATGTGCAGTATAAAATCTTGAATGTCTTTGCCTGTTTAAAACACCCAGATATTCTCATGACAAAACCGAGCGCTTTCGAAGCCTTAGCTATTATTTGATCAATATGGATATCGAACCGAAGTCTTGCATCATGATAAACACCAAGATCTCGCACTCCGTCACACCTTTGCAGAACCTGACCCTTCAGCTCGTATGGATGAATCATCGGGAACCGCTTTCTACTAAAAGTAATCACTGAGCATTTTGCGGGATTCAGGTCAAGTTTATTCAACTGGCAATACTCATCCAGGCGCTTTAAGTCATCCTGGAGAGCCAGCATGTCCTCCACCGATGTTATTTTGGAGTAAATCTTCATGTCGTCGGCAAAAATAAGAAGATTAGAGCTATGGAAGCAGAGGTCAATGTCATTCACGTATAAGATGAAAAGTAGGGGGCCAATTAGAGATCCCTGCGGAACACCGCTTGGAATCTTGACCCAGCTAGATATGTAGTTATTGACTACGACAGATTGAGACCTGTTTTCTAGGTAGGATGCAAACCATCTGAGTAAGTCACCGCATATACCAATACGATATAGCTTAGTTTTAAGGATATTATGGTCAATTCTGTCGAAGGCTTTGCTATAGTCGGTATAAATGACATCAACCTGTGCCCCACCATCCATACTGTCAGTCAAGTAGTCATTTAGTAAGATCAAGTTCGATACTGTGGAGCGACCCTTCAGGAAACCATGTTGCGTGGGACTAAACGAGCTCCTAACCGCAGCGTAAACCTGATCATACACGATTCTCTCAAAAACCTTTGCCAATATGCAAAGTTTGGATATTGGCCTATAGTTAGCTACTTCATTCTTTGAACCCTTCTTATGCACTGGTGTTATATAGGCTGACTTCCAAATCTGAGGAACGACAGATTCAGTCAAAGATCTCTCAAACAGCATAGTAACGGGCACAGCGATAGTTTTTGCACAGCCTATCAAAAACTGGGGGGACAAATCATCAGGACCAGCCGATTTGCTTGAATCAAGATTGGTTAATAATTTTTTGACACGTTCGACATCTATCTCAATCGCGCCAATATTAGACAAAGTATCCAATATGGAATTAGGACATTCAGGAGTAACGTCGGAATCAACACCAGTCGGAGCAAGAAAGTTGGAATAAAAATGCAAGCTAAAGGCATTGCAAATTTCTTCGGGCGAGGAAATCGATACATCCTTGTGTTTAAAATAACTGGGGATTGAGGTAGATTTAGATCTGTGCTTTACAAATGACCAGAAAGACTTAGGGTTTCTCCCGATAGATGCTTCAGTAGAAGCGATATAATTCGCATAACATTCACTCTCAACCTTTTTCACCCTTTCGCGTAAAAGCCTGAATGTCGCTCCATCCGATATCCCACCATATAACCTAAATCTGCGTAGGTGCTTATGTTTCTCCTTTATGAGCCGCTTAAGTGACGGAGAATACCAGATCGGATAAGTGCTAGGGTATATAAGTTTGCTTGGGACATACTTCGAGCGCATCTCCGATAAAACTTTATAGAAGTGACTAATTGAATCCTCCAATGATAAATTTCCAAAAATAATATCCCAATCAATACTGGATAAATCGTTGTTGATTGCATCGTAGTCTCCCCTACTATAGAGAAACCGTGTATATGGCGCTGGTATTAAATAACTGGATCTAGCAAAATTTACATCAATTAACAGGGCCGGATGATATTTGTCAATAGGTGCTAGGGGTACTAGGCATTCGCTAACAGATATGGTATCAGTACATAAAACCAAGTCCAACATTTTTCCATAGAAATTTAAGACACTATTAAATTGACTAAGACCCAACACAGATAATTCATCCACCAGCGCATGCTCATCACCGCTAATTACATTTGTGGGAATCAGCGAATTATTATCTGATGACAGCCACGAAATTCCACTCAAATTAAAATCTCCCACAATTAAAAACTTGTCATCTGGGTTACCCATTATAGAATCATTCAATCTACCTAGGTAGTTTGATAATTGCTCAGTAAAAGAATATCCGCGTTTCTCGCAGCACAGATACAAAACACCCAGGTGTAATTTAACGAAATCGTTGCTATCATAATGGCGTAAACTCACCGAAACCCAAAGATCCTCCGCAGTGGATTGAAATAGCGGCTGGGGCACTGCTGATATGAGCTTGTTCACTGCTATCAGCACACCACCTCCCCGAGTTTGACCCGTACGATGATAATCTCGATCACGGCGCCACACAATATAACGGTCACAAAATAACTCCGAGTCAGATATTCCATTCACCAGCCAAGTTTCCGTCAATATAACAACGTCGTACAAATTAACACATAATTGACGATAGAAGTCATCGGTTTTAGTGCGTAGTCCGCGTATATTCTGGTAGTAAATAGATAGTTTTTTAGCAGTATCATTGGCCATTAGGAATAACGCAAGACATAATAACCGCATCAATAGCAAAGTACAATGTTACACCACCGTGAATGAATGAAACGAACACAACAAGCAATCGACAATCCAAACCAAATAAAATCAAGGGTAGAACATAATAAACCAAGAACAAATAATAAGCAACGCGAACGAGAAAGCAATAGATCAATTCACGCATTAACCACATAAGTGCGAGCAAGACAATTAAATTTCGTTTAATAATTTCATATTGAATAATGTGATATGCAAGTGCGACACAAAGAACCCAGGTATATAAAAAATGGTCAAGTAGCATACCGCGGCAAAAGGCAGGGAAGCTCAACCCTTTTCTAAATTTTGAAATTATTTTAACATAATACAAAGACATGAAATAATAATAAAAATAAAACAAAAAAATTGGAACAATAAAGGTTATAAACTTAATGGATATTGTTAAGTTAACACGACTGATTAAAATATCGATGGTGCAAACCTTCTTACAGACAACATAACATTCTATTTTAGTCTGTTTAAATCGCCATCACTAGCTATGATAAGAACAGCAGAACCATCGTGTTTCCGAACATGTATCTTAGCGTGCTTGACCCAAACGTGTCTATATTCCTTCTCCTTCGCCATTAATCGGGTTCTGTTTAATAGCTTCTTTGAGTTGGAATTAAGATGGTCATTAATATAAACACGATTAGTAACACCAACAAATCCCAGATCGGATCCAGACAGGCCCTTTAGTAAGCGAGCAGCCGCAATGAAATCCTCCTTGATGTAGCGGTTCAGGAAGCTAACAATAATCGGCTTATCCCTTCCACTAAAAACCGGAATTCTGGTTATGAAATTAATTTGGTTTTGAAGCACTGGAAAGTTAACTCTCTGACCGATCCTATCCAGGATAGTAAAGAGGTTTTCATCCTTCCTCTGCGGAATGCCTTTGATCTCGACATTATTTAGCCTTGATCTTTGATCACTCATTGCCGATTCTGACTTGATGGTGTCGACATCTGTCTGTAGCGAGAACAAAGATTCCTCTAGGTTTTCTAGTTTAACAACTCTGGACTCAATCCCTGCAAGCTTTGCTGAGAATTCATCCAACCTACATCCATCGAATTCACGACTTGTTTTGAGATCCTTCAGCTCCTCTCTCATCAATTTCACATCCTCGGACAAAATGGGAAGGCCAGCCAAATGCATCTTAAGCTCCCGAATCTCACTCAAGATAGTCTCGAGTGATGCAGGTTCAGGTGTCGGAATCGGTGATAGGATAGGTGTACGGGCCGGTGAGGCAATTCGACACCTTGGGCACTTCCAAGCGGCTCTTCTGTCATTACCGAGTTTCCTCCAGCCAACTTCGGTAATATTGGCACATGCAAAGTCCAAGTGCCCCCCACATGACGAACATTGGACACCGTCGTTGAAATCCACACTACAACTGACGCACTTCATTGCAATGATGGAGAATGGCAATCAAAAGATAAAAATGTTTAGAACCCCTGACAGAGGTGAGCGCGGGCAAGTGGTAGGCCTGAGTGATCGCGCCAAACACGTTTTATCGTCCACTATTTATTTATGTTGAGTATGTTCTTGAAATCGGATGTTACACTATTATCTAGGCACTAATTGTTTTCACCCAGTACCCAAATGTAGGTATCAGCAGACACGCGCAGGTAAGAGATCCTTAATTTACAACTCGTTTATCTTTCCGTTTGTTTATTGAAGGTCCAGAATAACACTTGCACTTAATATCCTTCACAAAGGATTCTGTTTATTTATATCTAACAAGGTTTTAATAGGACTTTACTAGTTTATTTAATCAAAAAATAGGAATACTGTGTTAACGTTTCATGAACGGATGAACGAATGATAATATAGACTCTAAAAGCAAGCTACTTAACCTAAATCCGTATCTAGACGAAAACGGATTACTGAGGGTTGGTGGCAGGATAAGCAACGCAAGGATAAACAAAAACATGCAACATCCAATTATCATTCCTCATAGCGGACTACTTACCGATCGATTGATAGATCAAGGTCATCAGATGACTTTCCATGGTGGAGCTCGTCTAACACTGGCGTGGTTAAGACAGGAATTTTGGATTATTGGTGGAAATCGTGCTATCAAAAAACGCTTACATAAATGCGTCACATGCAGAAGGCATAATCCTGTAAAAAATACACAATTAATGGGAGACTTACCTGAATCACGAAGTAATCCATCGCGACCTTTCAATCATACTGGTGTCGACTTCACCGGCTATGTGGACATTAAGGCGAATAAAGGACGTGGCATTAAGACGACCAAAGGTTATATAGCTGTATTTGTGTGTATGGCGACCAAGGCTGTGCATCTAGAACTCGTATCCGACTTGAGCTCAGCCGCCTTTCTAGCAGCACTAAGGAGGATGGCAGCCCGAAGAGGGGCTCCAAATCATATTTACAGCGATAATGGGACAAATTTTGTCGGAACCAACAAAGTATTACGTGAAGAATACATCAATTTGCGAAACACTCTTGACGAGGAGTTCTACACAGCTATCACAGATATGCAAATACAATGGCACTTTAATGCACCTTCCTGGCCAAATGCAGGGGGACTTTGGGAAGCAGCTGTCAAAAGTCTCAAACACCACATCAAGAGAGTTGTAGGCGAGCAGAAACTAACGTATGAGGAGTACTCAACATTACTAGCACAGTTAGAAGCTTGTCTCAACTCGAGACCACTTTGCGCTATCAGCGAAGACCCTGAGGATATGGATTACCTTACTCCGTCACATTTTTTATCGAGTGGTCCCACACTAACTATAATTGAAACTGAAAAAGACCCAAGAACAAGATGGCAGCTTACTCAGAAAATTTACGATGATATCTGGAAACGGTGGAAAGCCGAGTATCTATCTCAGTTATCAGCACGCAGCAAGTGGCGGCAGCCACAATCAAACTTAAAGATTAACGACATTGTTATCATCCATGACGCTAATTTACCACCCGGAAAGTGGGCCACTGGCAGAATCATAAAGCTTCACCCCGGCAAGGACGGCTGCGTTCGTGTGGTATCTGTAAAAACCAAAAATGGGGTAATCAAGAGGCCAATCATAAAACTTTCCTTGTTACCAGTACACGAACTAAATCAACCTGAAAACAATTCAGAGCAAAATAATATTACAACACAGCAAAACAAACAACCGTCAGATTCTAATAATAATGAATCATTGAGAGATAAATCGACACGTCGTCGTAGGGGCAAAATCAGCCACTTTATTTACATTGCTCTCATGTTTTTAATGTTAATCATAACACCATCTAGTTGTGATTATAAAACAGCACCTTTGAATAGCAATCAGAGCATATATTTCGACAAGATCTCCAACATGCGCCTCGAACGAGACGAGTGGAAATTAATTGTTTACTATGATATGAATCCCTATTGGCAAGGCTTTGTTCTGCTTAAAAAATACGTTGATCATCTGGGCAATATATGTGCTAATACAACAAACATATCACGATGTGACGCAATACTCATTCAACTACGTCACAGTAAGAATGAACTTGACCATTACAATAGCATGTTGTTTGGTCAGCAATTCACGGAGAATGTCCGACGTAAGCGCGGTCTTATCAATCCTATAGGAAGCTTAGCGCGAAGCTTGTTTGGTGTCCTAGACGACGAGTTTGCTCAGCAATATGCCCGAGATATACATCAAATCAAGCGTAACCAAAAGCATTTGACTTCTTTATGGAAAAATAACACATCCATTGTTGAATCAGAGAACAACATCATCAAAAGAGTTGAAAATGAGATGGATAGACATCACAAGGTTTTCAATCAGCACCTGATCAGCTTAGAGAAGGGATTTAACACAATTCAGGGAGGAGTTCAAGAATCACTAATGTCTAACAGTTTCAGTATTTCTTCCATCGTTGCTAACAGCATTCTAATAAACTTAAAAACAATCCAAGAAAACATCGTGGATACTATTATGAACCTACACCATACAGGTTTCAATATTCACCTTTTAACACCTGAACAGCTGACGGATGAACTTAATATCATTACAGGACAGTTAGCAACAGAATTGACTCTTCCAATAGATAATATTCAGTCGGATTTATCTAAATTGTATCATTTATTAAGGACTAAAGCAAGAATTACGCAGCAGCTAATAATCTTCGAAGTAAAAATACCCTTAGTAAGCAGAGACAGCTATGACATCTACAAAATCATAACAATACCACAGCAAGTTGAAAGTAAAATGATTAGTATCATTCCCATAGCAGATATTCTCGCAATTAATTTACAAAAGGATGCATATATTCCAATGACGGAAAACGAAGTCCAGACCTGTATGTTTTATGACACAGAAACGTACATCTGCCCTTTAAAGGGTCCAGTTCATCAAATGAGGTCAGATGAAAACCTCTGCATTAGAGAAAATAAATCTAATCGTTGTAGGACTGCATCTACTATCTGCACAAATCATTGGACAGAACTTAATAAAATAAATACATATCTCTATTTTTGTTGCGGACTGTGCTCCATAAGAATCATGTGCGAATATCAAGTTACGGCCGAACAATTAACTAAGGCCGGCGTTATCATGCTCGGAAATGGATGCGTCATCAAAGGCGATACTTACACAGTTTATTCACATAAACAACTATCCAACACTTTGAAGACTACGGCAGACGTTCTGAGAATAGATATCCCACCCATCAACAATATAATCAATTTATCAATACCTATTGGTGCAATTAAGGAACAGTCTGAGCATAACCACATCGAGACCCAAGGTCTAGTAAAGAAAGTCCACGATCAGTTGAGTCAGATGAAAGATTCAACGAGCATTGATGGAGATTATAACGACGGGTTCTCTTATCACGACTTGCATCATTACACGGTGATATACTTATTGGCGTTCGCCCTGTGCGCGGCAGGAGCCGTGCACGTGTGGCGGCGTCTTCGGCGTGTGCGCAGCGTGGCTCTGCCCGCGCGCTCGCCTCGTCAGCAGCTTCAGAGTGCTAGTGTAATTAGTGTAAATGAGCTATCGGGACCCGGTGATATTGAGCTCAGTGCAATTTCAAGTGCGTGTAAACAAAACAGGGCTACATCGCCTATGTTACGTGAATCTGTTTTAAGTTAAAATAAATAACACTTTTAGAGACTTTAAGTTTGTGTGTCAACCAATATTGTGCTCTCTATTATTATCATTGTCTTTTTAAATTCTTACATTTACCTATGTTATTTTTTGATTTTTTATCTTAGTCTCTCGTGCCTGGGAGCATGTACGGTCCACCCGTACAATTATTAGAATATTGTAGAATAAGCACTTTTGTACCGCGAGCGCACTTTACTTCAGTTCGCGTTCGATTCTCGCCGCGGTTACTCATTTGTATTATTATATAACTATCATTAAAGTTATATTATCACTATATCATCGTATCATTTGTAGTTGTCCCGTACAATAATTCACAATCTATTTTTATCCGAACACGATCAAACTTATCTACAGACACGTCTTCGTTCCTAGTGAGTTTAATAAATGAAAAATAAAAAAAACCTCTTTCAATAAAAGTAAATTCATTCAACATTGAACATTAAGAGTATTTGCATACAAATGTTAACATTTCACTAGATAGGATACCGCATAATGAAGATAAAAGATTTGATGATAAAAAAAGATA